GGAAAGGGAAGCAGTTACAGATACCCTTCGATCATATTTTAGATTTTACAGCAGTGAAAAAAACCCACAACAAAACTACCCACATGATTTGGAAAAAAACAGAAATGTGGGTAAGTTTGTACTTATAACTACTGCAATCGATTATATTGCATATGAAAAAGAAAATCGGCTTTTGTTAATATGCAAAACAGCAAAATAAAAAAAACATGCCTGGCTCAGTCAGGTACTATGAAACCCAAAAGGTGAGCCTTACACCAATACCAGATCTCAGACACTGGTGGTGTTTGCAGCAAAAACTGCAGCAAGGATCAGCAACTTCACCTTTTGACTGGTACATAAAGTGCACGATGCCACTTCACAAACACAAAATGTGGGATTTTAAAGTATTTATATTGCTTAAGCAGATGTAACCTTGTAGCATAGCACAGAAAAGTATAAGCAGATGGTAGGGCCAGTTTAGGACTATAATACCTTTTCTAGCATTGCAAATGCTGGAGTGAGACAAGGATTCAAAACTTGGAACAGTTCAGGCAGCTCTGCTTAGCATTCTAAACATGCACCACTTAAATAATTCAAATTGGACTGCGCAATGCAGCGCCTTCTAAGCTGGGAAGTCAGCTGAGTACTGTGCTCACTAGATTAGATAATTTGAGCATGGGAAGGGCATCGTACAGTGCAGTGAAATTTTTTTTTTTTCCCCAGGACACACTGGAAAGCAGCTACAAATTGAGCTGTAACCCTTGCAGGTACAGTGTGCTAACCAGTCTCTCTTTATTTATTCACTTTTTAAAGAAAGCATGTGTTACATTGGTATCAGAAAGCTTTCTAGAAAATTCTCACTAGTAGCTGAGGTAGCCTAACAGCTAAATCAGTCCTCACTGAGCAAGGTAACGTACATTCAGTGACCTATAAGAACAAGCTTAAATCCTGTGATTACAAGAAGACCTAGCAATTCACTTAAACTCAGGCCTGTGATTACATATTTTAACAGAGAACTGGGCCTTGGCACATAATCAAGTTTTACTAAACTCATGTCCCAGCATGGGCACTGTTCAGCACTCCATGCTCTCTTGATTAGAAGAGTCACTTTTGTAGATGGAAGTGATCTGGCACAAGTTAGTTCAGATCCACACTAGTATAGTTACACTAGTATAACATTAATTAAGGGAAAACTTATTTCAGGATAACATAATAAATTATTTACTGAAGGTTATTTTTCAATAGGGAGAAGATTTATAATAAACTGATAAAATCCATCCAATATCTCAACAGCAGTCCTGACTTGTTACCACAATCCCAGAATAACTGGCATAAGTTAGAACAGCCTTTATGTTCCATTCCCGCTGCAACCAATGGCAAACTTCTCATTAGCTCCAAATAGCTGAGATTTAAGGCAGAAATTGGCAAGCATATTTAATTATAACCACATTTTCTTTAACAATACTGATGGGGTGCTCTGTTAAATAGGTCTAAATCTGCAATGATTGATGTGAAGTGCGTCTGAACACCTTTTATACAAACACCTTTCCACTGAATTGCCAAAGAAATTTGCTTTCAGCATTTATTGTTACTGCTGCTTCCCACACAGATCTAGCAAAATGCACTTGACAAAGGTTCAAAGGGTTTTTTACAAACTGCCCATGCTAATTGTAGCAGCTAGCACAGGCCTGTAGGAAAAAGTTGTTCTTCTCTTTTCAAATCTTCCACTGTGAATTGAAAACCTGTTTTGAAGGTTTTTCAGCCTTAGAAATGCCTAGAGACTTTGACATTTGAGAACAGTGATCGCACAATGGAAGCGAGCGGACCTAGCGTATGGCTCAAAGGCAGAGCTGTGCATGCACAGTACTTCCTGAACAGAAAGAGGTAAGTGCAGTTACCTTCAGCTTTTAACGCTGACTTTGCATGTCCTATGGCTTCCCATGGAGACGGAATATCTAGGAACACGGCATCTGCAATATTTGATACACCAAACCCATTTTTGCAGACATCCTGGTTGGTCACGGTGACCAGATGCTCCACCCCATGTTCCCGAAACTCCTCCCTGGCCTTCTCAGCCCTCTGTTGGTGGAACTCCACGGTGTACAGATGCCCTGTGGGAGCCACTGTCCTGATGAGAGCGTGGGAGAGGGATCCACTGCCCGTACCTGGAAAATAAAAACAGCTCATGAAATGCCTTTTGACGGTGCTAAACATTAGAACAAAGGTCTTCTCCATTAGTCCCCCTGCTTGAACACTTATTCAAAACCCAAATGAACAGAAACTATTGGTTAAACTACTGAAAGAGAACAGTCCTTCCTTCACAAGGGGGACTAAAGGACCTAGGAAGCAGTCTTCAGGGTCCTCAAAGCATTAATTAAAAATCTGGCCTCTGTCCCTGGAGTAGAACAATAATGCCAAGGGTCAGCTATAACTCTAACAAGTGCCAGAAGAGAACATGAGGATGTAAATGCAACAGGAAAAAATCAGGGAAATTAACCAGAGTTTTTCTCAAAGTGCCAGACTCTTCTGGAGTGAAAAGAGATGAAGCAAAATTTTAACATATTTTCAAAACCTTATACTTCATTAAAACAAAGAAAAGATTGAGGCGAGGGTCCAAGCTTGAAAATCCTATTGACATTCATGCAAACAAATGGACTTCGGGATATAGAGTCTGTTTGCCCAGGCCCCTCAAGAGACACTAGCCATCCTCAACTCCCACCGGCCATCCTCAACTCCCACTGGAATTAATCAGAACTAAAGCCTCTTATCTCCTTGCAGTCACACTGATCAAATGATCTGATTTCGCAGGTGACTTGCATACATACGTGCCTACACAATCTTAACAAAGTCTCATGAGATCCATCATGTATCTGAAATTGTGTGTAAGTAGAATTGCCATGTACAACCAGGGGCTTTTTTTTTTCTCTTTGTTTTAGTTTGGTAATTTACGAGACTTATTTTTAATGATCCACTGGCATATTAAATAGATGAATGACTAATAACCAACGTTTTCACTGAGGAAAACACACATATACCAATTCACACTGCAAATTACTCATTCAAGTGGCATTTAGCAGAATAACCCCCAAACTCAAAACCCCACAGCAACCCCAAATTATCTGTGTTTATTGATTTATAATTCTGTACTTGGAACACATTTCTCCTGTAGAAAGAAAATCTATTTCTAGCTATCTTCAATGACTGTTCAGGCTAAATTTCAGCCTGAAGCAAGTTCTTTCAACTAACATAAATCTTAAAAAAACTTATAAGGGACAGAACCTGAAGTACAGCAGTGGTGGAGAAAGCTCAGAAACTAGCAGAAAGGAAATTAATTACGGGACACAGGGACTGGTACAGCTGCTTAATTGGAGCAATACTTTCTGTAACCATACAGGAAGTCAGAGTTTACTGACGGATCCAAAGTTCTTGCCCTCTAGTCACATAAGGGGAGAAACATTGTCGTGGCACTGTATTTAATCTGACAGCTCTGAAAGGGGAGCCATTCAGACTATAAACAGAGCTCACAGCCCATGTTTGCCACCGGAGCAAGCAACTGCGGTGCGGAATCAGCACCGCTCCTCTGCTTCCCTCTGAGAGGGCTCTGACCCCAAGGGGGAGGCTAGCACCCTTCCCCCAGCTTTAATGGGGCAGATTAGATGAGGAGTGAGGACCTACAGATTTTAGCACTGGCTCCAAAGAGATCCAAAGGAAGAGAGAAACTGTGATACATACATTTATTTAAAGTGAAAATCCATGCATTCATGCCAGTATTAAAGAAAACAAAAGGCAAAAGACACATACATGTGCACACATGAAAAACTATCTGGCCCATGGGACCTACAGGCTCTAAATGTCAACATAAACTTTTCCCTGGTCAAAAGGAGTAACAGTAGCACAGTAGCCATGTGGTTGTAAAAACTCAATGATCTGTGTGCATAGCAAAGAAATAGCATTTCATTGATTTTTTTTTTTTTTTTAAATGACAAGAGCAGGGAACTATTGTTCACAGGATGCTAAAATGACTGAAATCCTGCCATTACATTTCATGCCAAAAGGCAGGATTGCACAACTGAGAACTTTCGCAAACTGACGGAATTTAATTATTTTACCTCTCAAAGGGGTAATGCTGCACACTTTCTGCATCTAAAGGAGTAAACAGAAGGTCTGCCAGCACAGCTGGGCTGTAAGCAGAAGAGAGGGGCAGCTTGTGCATGTATCCAGTTTCCGTGTTCATATTCTTTTACATTTTTAATCACTTTCCTTTTAAATCTGCTCTTAAAACCACCACAGACGATACTGTTTGTCTCCTTCCTAGGAAAACACATTAAGAGTTTTGGGATTATTTTCTGGTACACTTTTTTTATTTACAAACACTCCAAACCAAACCCAGAACTAAACCCAGGATGTTGGAAGTCACCACTTGCAGGCATATTACAGACTGAACTTTTGTTAAACAAGGTTGCCAGGAGTTATTTATTGTTGACTGGCTACCACAAATATGAGAATAATACGCATGTATCACATTTTAACATATCAAATTCTATCACGCTAACATCATTAATGACAGTATTTCTGAAGATGCTGCCTGCCTTCTCCGTGACAGCACTCTCAAAACTCCAGGAAACAAAGAACGAGATGGTTATGAATCACCCACCATTGCAAAGTCTTTCCTTGAAGGGATACCAGATTCTGAACCCAGTCCTGTGAAATGATGAAGACCCTCAACTCTCACGTGCCTGATAGTTCAGCACGCTTGATGTGATTCATGAAGAATATGAGGGTCCGGCAGTTCCATATTAGTCCATACTCAACACAAGCCCTAAAGCCACATCAGCACTGTCTACAGAAGGCAGAAGTTCAACCCTTTGTTTCTCTGATGTTGTAAAAGAGGAAATGAATGTTTATATTCACCTTCTGCCCTGCAAATCTGCAACATCCAACATTTGACTCCTCTCGCCACCTTCCCAATTCCTTTCCAATTTCTCTTTGCCCTTATTTCAAAATCACGACTGAAAAAAAGTAGCATTCAGCAAAATATGACTCAAAGAGTCCTAGGCACCAGTTTGGAGTAAGTTCTAGTCAGGTTCAGGTTTCCTTGGGAGATGAAAGGTATCCTTAGCATGATACAGAATCAGTCAGGAAAGCAGCAAAACACAAGGAGTACTACTGAAGACGTGAACTAGAATGCCACCAAACCTGAAATATCATAGCTGAATTACCTGTATACAAATGAACCAAAACCCTGAATGCTCAAAAATGAATATTTTGTATCAGAAGAGGCGAGTTAAGAACTGGATGAACTTCAATAGATTTTCATTCTCCTATAGGTGCAGTGAAATGCCTACGTTCCTGATTTGACCTAGAAAGCGGAAGGTAAGACAACTTCTAGAACAAATACAGTTTATAATTTTTACAGCAGGATGCTTGCCTTTCTGACAACTTGCACTATAAATAGCCTTAGAAACTGCTCTCTACCACAGGACAATGCCCATTTAACTACAGCCTATTAATCATGAATGGACTCTACAGAAGAGAAGTAAAACAATGGTAATTCAAACTATACTGAAGACACTCTTAACACCACAGCTGCTGTTTTAGAGCTCACTTAGGTGAGCACTTAGGTCATTGCTAATGCCTTTGGAAAATATGATGCTCTTTTATGTTGACTATTCTGTGATCTTAAACATCTTAGTCAAAAAGCAGAATCTGCGTTGCAGGCATTTAATGAGACACTGCAGGGTCCCCAACATGCCATACTCAAACCTCCAAATCTGAGGAGGAGGCACCGTGTAGGGGATCAGCATGTAGACTAGGAAAGTGATCCATCTCAGTCCAAAGGCATGAATTAAGGTCCCACGTTAAAACCCCATGAGTTAGGTGGCTAATGACCCCGCAGACCGATGTAGTATCCTTCCCTTTTTCTTGGGCTCAAGCACACTCCATTCTTCTCTGACCCATCTAAGCTCAGGGGAGTGTTTCTGCCCTCTCCCAAGACAAGGAAAACACTGTAGTTTTAGAAGGATTTCAATCTTAACAAGTGGACACCTAGATGAAACACTTTAGCTCAGCATCTACTGATACTTCCTTCTGATTTGTAGACAAGAAAGCACTGATCAGATGAACTTGGTGATCATTCCCCTCACCTCAAACAGATCTGTTCTTCTCAGTCTCTGCTTATACATAAGTGACAGGTTTTCCACAGAGAAACATTCACACATCTCAGCCATCTTGAGACAATGTCCACGTTAAGATCATTTCTCACCTTTTCAAAGCTGCACTGGACAACATCTGAGCTGTTCAAAAATAACATGTGCTATTTCAACACAGTATAGATACACATCAGAACGCTGTCCAGAGAAACATGAGTGTTACCACAGCATCTAGCATAGCACTTGACTGATAACTGAGTAAGAGAATACATTTTTACACTGTTTTCTGTTTCGTCTGGTTTTCTTATTGCAAAGGGTATTTGTCTAACCTCCCGGAATCTCACTCATGCTATAAACTAAGTGACTGATTCTGTGTTCCACTACATTTCCTCATTGCAGGCTATTGCTTAGCTTGTCTTCCCTAAAAATTTCTCATCAAGGTTGCTTCTTTTTTTAAAAAGGAACTACAAATTGTGTATAGCAGTGCATAAGCAAATGCATTTTGGAATAGAGCTGAAGAAGCTCTTAAGTGCATATGTAGGTTCATATTGCTTGAAAAAAGGAAAAGTGAGAAGTATGCAGAGTACTATTTAATACTGTGTCTCTATAATATCTAGTAACACTTTAATAGAACTGAAGTTTCTGCTGCAAAATTTGGCTACCTAAGATATTCTGAAATGAGTAAATACAACAAAACAATGGCAGCATTGCTGTATTTGTCTCCTAGCGACGACACTTAGACCTAGCAAATAAGACAGGTCATGAGTCAGCCATGAGAACGGAAGGAGCCTCAAAACCAAAGGAAAATTAATCTTTACATAGAGCTAACAACTCCACAGCTAATATCTGTCAAGAAACACTGAACAGAGAAAGACTGCTTACTGTACATGACAAGTTTATGTAACAGGAGAATCATTAATAATTTTTAGCAAATATATGAAGAGATATTAAGCATCTGATGGAAACTAACCCAAAGATCTTACTGCGAAGATAGGCAGAGGCACAAATCATGGTGGCAGAGGTGAGACACAGCAAGAGCAGGGACAGAGAGAAGGAGATTGAGTTTCAAGGAGAGGAGCTGGCAGCTGAAAGAGGAAACAGCAAATCAAGAAGTTCCCCTTACAGAAGATTAGCTCTTTCTCCTGCCCATCTTTTGTGGACACCATACTGCAATAGGCATTTTAGGCAGCAAGCTGGAGGTCAGAGAGGGCCACTGCTCACTGACCAGATTGAGGAGTTGCAGGAAGATTAGTAGGGAAGTTTTCCAGGCTGGCACTGCCTACAAAAGGATTGGGAATGGGAAGACTGAAAAGAATTTTTCCTTAAAGAGTCGGAGTTCTTTAGGGAGGGATCTTCTGCAAACGGACATAATATTGTTAAGTTCAGTGCTGCATGAGAAATGCGCGTGGTGGTCAAGTGAAATGATAAGATGAAAGTGAGTCCAGAAAGTCTGCAAACAAACACTTTAGAGTATGAACAGCATTCCTCATTAGCTGCAGGTCAGCCACAAGTCTGAATACATTAGAGTGATGCCTCATGTGGCCACAGTTTTGGTTCAGTTCTTTGGTCTGTCAAGAGAATACTATGATCTCCGACATTTGTACTGATGAGACCTTTCTACTACTTCAAAAGGTGCTATGCAACGATTGGGTTTTCGAATTCTTCTCTCACTCTAACCTGAACAGCTGCTAAGACGTAGATAAGGGAGACATTATAAAACACAGACTTAATTAGTATAAGCATATTCCAAAATCAAATTAATACTTAGAAACTTTGGTCTGTACTTTACACTAGAGCTGCAAACAGTTTACATACACTTATGCCACAAAAATTGTAAAGACATGAGCAATATTTCTCAAAAAGTCTAAAGCACTTCAGTAGAGTCATAAGCATACAGCTGACTTGCTAGGACTCCACAATAAACTATTAATCATTTATTGACTATCCATTAATCATTAAGTCATCATTAATTTTTTATGGGTGTACTCTTAACAAAATCTATACCCAGGCTGTGAGTTTGAAAATTTCATAATTGTTTTTGAGAAGCTCTAGTGTAAGGCTGGTGAGCAGCTCTTGTTACTCCTCCACAGAGAAACCATGAGACCCAGAATACTGTTCTCAGTCTGCAGAAATCCAGTCTGTGGGCTCAGAAACCCATTGCTGTGCTGTGTGGCAATGAACAGGGTTTAGCAATTTTTAATTTGGGATTTAGCTGAAGGGAAATGAAAAATCCAATTAACATTTCTGCTCATGTGAGTCTGATTTTGTTGAACACTGAAGGATCACTGGGATGGTGGTTAGAATACTTTTGACTAAATTACATTTTATCGAAGTACAATGCTCCATCAAAGCCAAAATATTTCTGAGATTTATCAGATTAAATGAGGTTTCACAGTGCTGTACTGCATTCCCTGAGTAATTTAGAGGGTTAGGACAGACACTTGTTCAGGTCTCGCCAGGGAGAGAGGACAGTAAAAAAGCCTAGATATGTGGGGACTAGAAAGAAACAAAAAAGGGTTCAGATATTGGAAAAAATATCTGAAAGGTTTCATATTGGTTCCAATGTAGTACAAAAATAAATGTAAAACCCTCAACATTTGTTGTCAAATGGAGTTGTTATGCTACATGCAGCTGTAATCACTGGAGTGAAAATAGCCTTGCCTGGGAAGTTGACATCAAGATTAGTTTTGGAGAGTGTGACGACACACACAAAAAAGATTCAGTTTATTTCTTTATCTAGACAGTGGCTGCACATGCAATTAATGCAAATGGTATCAGAGTTACTTGACGAGAATTAAAGTTTCACACTACCAAGCCACCCACAGCAGGTATTTTAGAAGCTATCTCAAGGTTCCTTTAATTCTGGAAAGATTGGGCTGTTAAAGACTGTATCAGAGTGGGGAATTCCTCAGACCAGGGAACAATGCTTTCAAGAGATCTTAGCTCCAGCAACAGTGCTAACAGTTTTTAAATTTCAACATGCTTTTATAAATTAGAAATTAGCAGAAGACAGAAAAAGGATCATATTCCTACACCTCCATCATGAAACATCAGGCAGATGCTGAGTTCCCTTAGAGCCTCATTTTAATTGTGCACGCACTGCTGACAAGCTTGGTCTTTATGTATTTATTAAAATTTATTAAAAATAATAAAAACTGTATTAATATGTTTATATCATTTATGACAAATCAGGACTAATCAATTTAAACTGCATAATTCAAGTGATATAAAATTAAGCCTTCTGGCTATTCTACTGAATTTTTCTCATCACACACAAAAGATCATTTACACTCATATTCACAGCATTACAACACAAAGGGTATTTCATCTTACTTTATCGATCCTTTCTTCACACAGTTGTGGAGACTAATCCACAATTTTGCTTGCTTACACAAGGTAAATGCAGGGCACTCTTCCACGGTCCAATTAGTAAGACAAGAAGAAAAGAGCCTGGCCTGTTTACAGTGCCTGCTTTGCCAGTCCATACAGCAACTATGTGTATTGGTTCAATTTCAAATAATAAAACAGACAGACCTCCATGCTAATTAATACTCAAAATACACCTAAAACCAGCACCAGCAGGAAGCAGACTCCAATGTCATTACTAGAGCAGATTTCCTGTCTTGTTTCTATTAATCACCATTGGGCTGGTTCTGTCCAGGCTACACAAGGTTTATCTAGAACTAATGATTTTGGATCACTGAATACAGTCTAATTTAGGATGACATTGAAGTAGATTATATCACCACTGGAGGCTCCAGTTGTCAATACCTGTAAAATTTTTAATTCAATTCACCACTTCTGGTCAGTTGCAAGCAAATTTGCAGTAAGATCTCTTGCTTCAAGGTTAACTAGATAAATTTGATGCAATACTCTTTCTTTGTAAACAGTGAATTTTTCAAGCAATACAAGCAAAACTATAGTAGTAAAACTGTTCACTTTTCCTAGAAAGCTGAAGTTTGACAACATAGGCAGTAAAATAAACCAGGGGACAGTTTCCCATTAGCAAAAAGGATTGTTTCTGCCTGTGACTTTTGACTCACAACATTTTTGGGAATCTGGATAGGTTACCTCATCAAATGTTTCCATTTCTTAGCTGTTTACATAAATGAGCTTTTAAACATTTTCACCCTCTCTAGGTACCTTTGACAGTACTGAAAACATTTTATGTGCAGCTCTGCACTTTAACATTCACCTATTCCAAGTGAGGCAGGACATGGAGCAATTAAAATCTCTTCCCTCCCCAAATAATTTGCTGTGTTTATTTTTCCCATCCTGTCTAAACATAGCAGGGAGGTGAAGAGGTGAAGAGCTGCCCAATGAACAATACTGCTACTTCCCGTGACAACCCCAAAAATGCCTGATTGTCCTACAAACCAAATTATAAACTCATAGGACCCAATCATTTTAGCAGTACCAGAGGTTCTGCATATGGCTTTGACTGTTTCAAGTGCTGCTCTACAGCAACCAGCTCCATATACCACCTGTTTCTTAATGGATGCAACTGGATGCAGAGAAAAGTGGTGTTTTCAGTTGTGTTGGAAAGTGGTGGTTATACCTGAAAAGCTGCCCAAAATTATGCTTGGGTGGGAACAGGAAATGTTAAATGCAAGAAAGTGCAGTGCAGCACAATCCTGTCATGCTGATCCTTTGCCACATCTATGCTTGAGAGGGAAGTGCATGAAAGTGCTTCATAAAAACGCACAAAGGAAACAGAAAAAAATGAGGATAAACTACTTCAGTTCATATTTTGCCAAACCTCAGAGATGCACTCAAATCAAGCAAGCCTCATACTGCCTGCAGTAATAAAGTATGAAGGCATTATTATAATCTGTATTTAACCAGGAAAATATTTAATGTAAAATTTCACTCCGTACTTGCAAACTAAGCAAAATCATGGAAGCTGTAATAAAATAAACCAAGTTTAGAAACAAAACACAGCCCTGTGATGAACACATCATCCATTGCATTATACAGCTATGGTGATTTTGCATGCAGTTGCAGTGCTACAAGTGGATCACACTTTGGACGAGAAAGACGAAATACACGTATTTACATGGTATCACATAATATAAATACTGCCAATTTATTTTCCTTACTAGTTCAACACCCTATCATCAGTCTTCTTCACTCGGTTATCTCAATTATGTTCTCTGAAGCTGCAAATTCAAAGCCTGAATTTTTATTCAAATCATGTATTTAAAAATATTTTTAGCTACTTAACTAAGTTTTAGAAAAGAGAAATAAAATGATTTATATATTTATTCTAAGAAGATGAATTAATGAAATACATACTCAAAGGTATACCCATACATGAGGCCAGCATACTGAGGTAACATTATTGGTTGAAGAAACAGCAGCTGATAACACGTGCACATGAAATGGAATTACTGAATGTGTAGGCTGGGAAAATTATACAACAATGGGAAAAAAACTCCACCTTTTTGCAAAATGTAAAGATAAGCCTGTTTTTTCATGGAAGTGTTGGTGTTAGTTCTTAATAAAGGATTTCAACATATTAATTATTACCTGATTCGCACACTATGGAGCCTGGTTTCAGTTCTAACATCATGGTGATTATAGAGATGTCAGTGGAATACAGAATCTGCGTCCTGTGCGGAAGATTCATGGTCCACAGTTCTGGAGTTGGATGAAGAATAAACACCCATCCTCCTTTACTGCAAGTCACTTTGGAGCCATACTTCTTGCCTATGAGGTCCATGGAATGCCTGATGACCCCATACTTAGTCTGAGTTACAGTGCCATGCTGGACTTTCACAGGAAACATGGATTCGTGGCCCAAGAACACAATAGCTGTGTCACCATCCTTTATCGTATCTCCGTATTCAACAAAACTCATTGTGACAGTCTTGTACTTGGCTGATGGTTGTCAACTAGAAAAGAATAAATATGTCAAGAGAGTTTTGCAGAATCACGATGGAGCTGAAACTGCAGACATAAACCCAAGTAATTTTATTTCCCCGATACAGAACAAAACCACGCTGTGCAAATAAGATGTTAGCAAGGGAACTCCATGAAGCTCAGGGACCTCCCCCCTGCTGCTCTCTTGATCCAATTAAAATCAATGGAAAGATCCCACAGATTTGAGTATAACCAGTATTCTTCCCATTTTATGGTACATTTTAAAGAAAATTTAGTTAATACATTATAATTTACTCAGCCTGCTCCACAATACAGCTGAGAAACTTGCAAGGTAGTATCAATTTCAGCACTCTGTTCAATTCCAGTTCACAAGCTCTCAGAGTATGTTGTAACTTTTATTTCCATCTGCTGGCTTATCCCTTGGTGATTTACAACATAAGACAACTGTTACTTGCCTGGATATCAATCACTACTTACTAGGACCACTAACAAAAGTTTACTTGAAAGTTTTCCAAATGAAGTTTTAGAGACAGAATAAAGGTAGTATCTGCATTAATTTATGCATAAATGTGACTAACTACAAGGAAAAAAGGAATATTGTGGCCTTTAATTTGCTATTCAGGTGCAAAGTAATCATATGGCAAGTGATCTGTGCTGCAAATAAATGTAAACAACTATTTGCAAGCTAATGCAAACAGTTCTATCACTTTAGGTCCATGGTCTCAGAGCTGTTTAGAGAATTACAATTAAATTTTGTTGTCTTTGAGAAGACAATCTAGAAATTAGAAGGCAGCTTACAATGAAACCTGGCATTGCCTTTCAGATAAGGCAGCTAACTAACTAGAGCTGAGGGTTGATCATTTTGTGGAAGGAATTGTTTAATGAAGTAACGGTGATCCCAAAGTTAGAAATTAAAGCCCATGACAGAAGACTTTGAAAGTCAGATTTCTGGTTGCACAAGAGAATTAAAAGCAGCTTTACTTTTGGTTTCAGAATAATGACTTGATTCCAGCACTTTTTTGTATTGAATGTGTAACAGCTTGGTCCTACTTCATTTTCATTACAAGCTTTTAGTTCTCAAATTCTGGTCTGCTTCTGTTGACCAAAACTCATTGTAGTCCAATTTGTTGTTAAGCAGCTAGATTTATAGTTTTTCCACTGCAGTCACTGAGACTGATAAACAGATGTGCTTGGGGCCAAAACTTCCAAAGCTTATGACATGCTTATTGCATAAGGTATTCAGATGCCAAAGCAGAATAGGCCTGTCTGGACATACGGTGAAATAGTAAGAAGAGCATCCCATGAATTCAGAAATGTATACATACTGACTTTGTGAGATAGTACAAATGCTTAACTGTGTTTTGTAGCTTGCACCTTCTGATTATATTCATGTCTTAATCTTTCATAAATGACACTTGTAGCTGCTACACTTGTCTCCTTAACTCTTTGGGTAGCACGCAGATGTCTTGGTACAGTACTACTTTTGCCACACAGTGCTGTGGAGTGGAAGTGGAAGGGATGGCGAGGCTGAGGCTTGTGGCACCAGGTTAAGACTTTTCTGTGGGCTTGCCATAACTGCAGTGACCTAAACTCAATGACCCAGGCGATCTCTTGCAGCTTCACAAATTAAACTGCTAAAATGATTCTGTGTTCCCTTCAGCCAAAACCCAGATACACCTCTCCTGACCGGCTTCCACACAGACCTAGCAGGCTACCTCTTCCCCTCTGAGAAGCCTGGCTGCCTGACACGGCAGCAGGGGGAACCTCCCGAGAAGGAGGCAGGCATAGCCGCCTGACCTCCCGGGCAGTGCACGCTCCCCGCTAACACAGAGGCTGGTGAATCCGCTACCTGGCCACCCGTTCCAGAAAGGCTGTCCCCGGCCGCGGGGCCTCCCGCCCTTCCCGAGGGCCGTTTCTCTCCGCGCCCCCTCAGCTCCAGCCCCGCTGCCATGCCGTGAGGGCGGTAAGGCCGTTCCCGCGCCCTGGGAGCGCATAAGTCCATCGCAGCGGACCCGGGAACTTAATGACTGCTCCGGGGTCGTGTCCAGGGTTGATTGATTTAATTCGGTATTTGCTGAGGCGGGGTTAAAGCACAGACCAGGCAGG